TACCTGTCCCCATTAAAATCTGAGGAGTTATTTTGGCCAGTGACTCTAATTTAGCATTAGATCAGATTTTGGATCGTTCCCAAACCGCCATGCTTCAGCCCCCTTCTAGGCAGAGCCGTAAGCTGGCCCAACTACCGTATCGTTACGACTTTGTCGATGCTTGGAGGGAAGCTAACCCGACTTCTCGAGATTACTCCCATTATTCTAGGGCCCATAATTGTTATTCTCGCATTGACCATATATTTCTTCATACACATTCACTTTCCAGACTCCTCACTGCAAAATTCTCTCCACGCCTTGGTCTGACCACGGCCCAATTTCTATTCAATTGTCCTCCTGGACACTTGGTAAGACAGCTTATTGCTGGCGTCTTAATGACTCCATTTTGGGTAACCCCTCCTATTGTCAGGACATCTCCTCACAATTACAAGCGTACTTTAAACTTAATAAAGCGGAGGATACGAACCCGGCGATTAACTGGGCAGCCCATAAGGCCTCAGTTAGGGGGTTTTATTATTCAACTCTCCTCACGAATTAAAAAAGCCTGCAACGACCTACTAGCCACAAAAACCAATCCTATACAGAATTGGGTGCCCAGCATAAGCGAAATCCCAGTCCGGACCTGTTGCTTAAACTTCAACAGGCCTGATTGGAACTAAATCTCTGCCTTACTACTACGGCTGACAAACAGTTACGATGGTCTAACCATAAATTTTTTACTTGGAGAGATAGACCCTTATTGGCACGCAAGTTGACTCCCAGACATTCCCAGACGGCTCTCCCTAAACTCAGATTGGATAATGGAACGTTATCTCAAGACCCTGTTAAGATCCTCCACAAATTTCATTCTTTTTACACTAAACTATATAGCTCGCCTCAGGGAGATGCTTCTTCGCCTCTCGACGCCTTTTTGAGCTCTGTTCCGATTCTCTCTCTCCAGGATGCTCATAGGGAGTTGATGGAAAGGCCTATCTCGTGCAAAGAAATTGGAAGTGCTATGAAATCCCCTGCCCCTCATAAAGCCCCGGGACCAGATGGTCTTCCTCATAACTATTATAAAGTTTTTCCTGATGTCCTGATTCCCCATATGGCTCTCTACTTTAACTATTTACGGGATGGGGGGCGGGTGCCCCCTGCCGAAAACAAGGCATTTATCAGTGTCATCCCTAAACCTCTTAAGGACGCTTCTATAGTTTCTAATTATCGGCCTATCTCCTTAATCAATTGTGATTTAAAGATTCTTACTAAAATCCTGGCCTTACGCCTCCATAACTTTTTGGCTCTGCATATTCATGATGATCAGTCAGGATTCATCAGCGGTCGACAAACATCAGATCAAATTTGCCAGACTTTAGCCCCGTTGTCAGATGTACAATGCAATTGGGACCAATCCTCACAGAGGGAAATCCTATTATTAACATTGGATATTCATAAAGCGTTTGACAGTCTATCTTGGGACTATTTATTTAGGATGTTGGACAAGTTTGGGTTTGGTCCTTATTTCACGACATTATTGTGGGCCCTATATTCTAATCCGTCAGCTAAGGTTTCTATTCGCGGTCATAAATCAGCCTCCCTTTCGATAAAGCGAGGAACTAGGCAGGGCTGTCCTCTTTCTCCACTACTATTTGCCTTGGCTATGGAACCACTTGCTATTGCTATCTGCTCTGATCCCGCCATCTCGGGCATCCGCTGTGGTCAGCGGGACCATAAATGCGCCCTATTTGCTGATGATGTCATTACGTATATCTCTAATCCTCGGGCTTCTTTACCTGGTCTGCTCCGCCTGTTTCATTGTTTCTCTGAGGCCTCTGGTTTAATGCTTAATTCCTCTAAAACGATTGCCTTGAATATCTCGTTAACGGATTCAGAGGTCCATTACCTCCAGGACAATTTTGACTTCCAGTGTGCCTCTAGTTCTCTCCCCTATTTGGGGGTTCACTTCACGAAATCTATTTCAACGTTATATAAGACCAATTATCTCCCGTTCTTCAAAACGACTCAAATCTGACTTACTAGAGTGGCAGGATCTCTCACTCTCCTGGTTTGGTAAAATTAATTCTATTAAAATGACCTTTCTACCGAGACTATTGTATTATTTTAGGACGTTACCGATCATGGTTCCCAAGAGGGAATTGCTATTATTACAAGCAGCAGTCTCTAGATTTATCTGGAGGGGTAAACGTCCTAGGGTTAACAGGTCAACCTTGTTTTCCTTAAAGGAGCATGGCGGTTTGGGACTTCCTAATCTCTTGGCCTATTTTCAGGCGGCACAAATAGCTGTTATCTTGCACTACTGCCAGGGGGTACGTCCCCCAGTGGGTTGGGATTGAGGCCTTATCTTGTCATCCCTATGCTATTGGTGCTCTCATGTGGGTTCCTAGTCGTTTGCGTCCTCCTATTCTGTGTCCTACGTTGTCCTATTCGTTGACAGTTTGGGATAGATGGCGAGCACGCAAACCATTCTTCTCCCCACATACCCCTCTGGCTCCGGTATTTTGCAGTCCCGAGTTTATTCCTGGCTTATCGCCGTCAATGTTCCACTGGTGGATGAATAAGGGCTTGCTACGTATCGGAGACTACCTGGATGGGCTTCGTCCTCGTTCACGTCAGTGCTTTTTGATAAAGTATCAGATGCCTCGCGGGGAATTGTTTCGATGCTACCAACCTATCTCTTTTATCACTAGCAAACTCAAATTACTTTCAGAACCTTGCTCACTCACTCCCTTAGAGGTCTCCTGTGGGGCAGCTGGAAGGATGAGGGGTCGTTTGTCCATTCTTTATGCTTCCCTTGTTGATCCACTCACAAAATTATCTTATATGACTCAATGGGAGGGGGATTTGAATCTCTCATTGGACCTGGATACTTGGCGGCAGGCGGCACAAACTTTATCAAAGATTTCGATCAATACGGTTCTTATCGAATCCAACTATAAAACGCTACTTTGCTGGTATCTGTTTCCTACGCGCCTTGCTAAAATGTACCCTTCTGTATCACCTAGTTGCTTCCGACGCTGTGGACAAGAGGGAACTATGTTCCATATCTGGTGGAAATGCTCGGTAGTGAACAGGTTCTGGATCCGAATGTTTAATTTTATCTATTCGGTAATAGAAATTAATATTCGTAGATCTCCGGAAGTGGCGTTATTTCATTTGCTACCCGCTGACGTTCCCAAAAAATCAACTAAATCAATTTTATACCTCTTACTGGCGGCACGTATTACCATAGCTAGAAGTTGGAGACAATCACTGATCCCACTAGATGGGGTTAAACAAAAACTTAATTGGATAACTATAAACGATAAACTTACAAGCATTGTCAATAATGATGTCTCTAGATTTGAGGTGACGTGGCAACCGTGGATCAGTTATATTTCTATATCTTAAAAGTACTGCAGCTGACCCTCCCTATCTCCTCTCCCCCTTTGGTATTCCCCCCCCCCCCCCCTTTTTTTTTTTTTTTGTCGTTTTGTTTTCTTTCTTCTTAATTCCTTTTTCTCTTCTCTTGAATTGTTTGTATACTTTTGGTGCATTTCTGTTGCATTATCTGGTTCATTGATTAATGGGCAGTTTGCTACGTGGTTGAGATGGTGTTCTTTTTACATATCACCAATGTCTAATAATGTTTTTCTTTCATATGCTTAACTATTCTATGAATATGATTGTGCACTCCATTTCGCTATGTAGGTGGCAATTGCTGCTATATTTTTGTATTCTACTGTATACCAATTTTTCAATAAAAATATTGAAGTATAAAATTTGAGGAGTAGGAGTTTAAAAGAATACATCTTTTCTTTTACGTCATCACTGGCTATACCTCCACCCCTCCTGAAGCCTAAAAATATGGATATTTCCATAGTGGGGTGGGGGATTACAGCCAGCACTGTGTTCCACCCCACATCTCTATTCTGCAATGGCGGGTCTTCTCAGCATTCCACTTACGTTTACTGCAGCCTGATATTCAGGAGAGAGAGTGCTATGAATGACTACAGCTGGAGAAAACAGCTTTCATTCACAAAAACACAATCTGCCAGAAACACATGCCAAGTACTACACTAGTCAAGAAAGAGAGGGTGGCTTCATTCCTACATACAGGGGGACCAATGTAACCATCCTCTTTACAGGAAGCCTAACAAAATGTCTGATTACAGCAAAAAAAGAAAATTGGAAGATTGGGTGGAGACAGAGCAATTCTTTACGGAGTTAAGAATACATACTTGAATAAACGTTTTGTTTTTTAACTACAGTTTAATGTCACGTTAAAGTAAAGCTATTTTAAAACAACTATTCTCCCCATTTCTGTTCTCTCTCTAATGCAGGTGCACTTCAGTTCCACTAGTAACCACTTCAGCCTGTCATTTTGATTGCTGCCATTGCCCTACTGAAAATCCCAATACTTTGGGGTAGGTGGCACTGGCAGACAGGTATGCTTCCCTGCCACTCCACAAGGTTTTGCTTGGTGCTCGAGTTACCAAAAAAAAAAAAAAAAACAACAGTCGAAGTGCCATGGTGGGCTGGGAGTTACATACAGCAACAATCACATCAGTGTCCAATGGCAGAAGACCTAAGTGGAGGTGCCAAGATTGAGCACTGGAGGTTGCAAATTAATTGAAAATCAGGCACCCTCCAGTACCTGTATGTATATCTTTCTGAGTCCCCCAAAACCTAGGGTACTCTGATATGCAAACGATTTGTGACCTTTCTCACCATATTTGAAGATAAATAGTTAGGTTGTGGGAGTTTTACCTCTCCATTATGACATTTCATGTAAAGGAAGCACACAGCACAACATTAAGAATAAGATTAACGCATTTGTAGCAAATGCATATGATCAAAGCAAGGCATTTTTCTGTCAAAGGGTTAAAAGATAAAATGAAATCCGCTTGGTAAGACAGCAACATACACAGAACAATAAATATCCTCATATCTCTATAGCCATATGCTCAACTTCCTTGACCAAGTGCCTGGTGACAGGAGACAGTATTGAGTTCTATACCCACCTTTTTCTCGGATGACATCAATGAGAATATCAATCACAATAAAAGTGCCTGTACGTCCTATTCCTGCACTGTTAATAAAGAAAACAGCAGTGTTGTGAGCAAGAGACCAACCTGAAGTTCCGAAACACAGACTTTATTGTGCAGACTTAAAAGCAACACATTCTAGTTGGCAGCACATAAATACCTGTTTATTATATAGAACACAGCCAAAAGAATAGACTGCCACTTTCTCAATAAATTAAATTAAATGTTGGCTAGTCCACTAGTCTAAAACACCTTAAGGCAAAGAAGACGAAATATTCAACTCTCTAGCGGTAGGGAAACAAATACCTACATTTCATTTATTTACACAACATATGTAGGTAAACAGTCACAGTAGCCTGATTATAGGAAACAGCTGTTCTGCCATAGCAAACAGTTCTCCCCAGTAAAAATGAATCCCAAGAAGCATTAAAGGATAAATTCACCTTTCTACAAAAAAATAATAAATGCACATTTTTTTGCAGGTAAAAAAATGTGCATTTATTATTTTTTGTAGTAGGAGCCTGTAAAGCATTGCACCAGCAATCAGCAGATCACTGATGCCATGCAGGTCTCCTGCAGACTGTCAGTGTATCTGATTGCTCGTACTGGCAAGCCGATACTTCTGAAGACTCAATGAACTACCACAACACTCACAGTGCCATAGTAGTAAATTGAGAACTACAAGCCGGCAGCTGCTAAGGCTGTCGGGACTTGTAGTCCATTCATTCACAGAACACCGTAAATGAATAATGTGGCCCTGTTTTTAAAAAGTGAACGCTAGTATGGGGAACTTCCCCCCCGTATCCTGTCACAGGGAGGAGGGGGACCAGGTGGTGGCTGCAGGATCAGGAACATGTTACATGTTCCACCCTAAAAACGGACGAAACATGTAACGTGTTCCCAAAAGTGACCTTTCCTTTAAATATTAAAGCAGACCTTGCACTAAAACAAGGATCACTTATTTCATCACCATGCAGCCACACCCCTGCACCTTAAATCATTGTTACAGGACTGCTGTAAAAAAAAAAAAAATATCATAATAATAATAGTACTAATAATAAAATTTAAAAAAATACTTGTGAGTGATATCTCAAGCAGTGACAACATACTGTAAGGTTTGGGATCTTCAGTGCTCCTAGAATCTTGCTGAAAGGATTGTGATGTCACCCTCTCCTAGGCGTCTCTGTACTCCAAATATTCTAATAGCAATCATACAGCAATATGAGTTGGGAATTGGGGTGTAATGTAATAAGCTGACCTTGCATTTTAGTGCAAGATCCGATCCTCTTTAAGAGCTAATTAATGGAAGAAAAGACAAATGTATGCGTTTCCTGGCCTCATACGTGGCCTTTTCCCCCAAGATATCCACACCATCCCACTGCTATCTGCACTGGCACCATGTGACCGTGCTTTCTACACAAATTGAGCTCCACAAAATTTTTCTGGGAGACTTACTTTTACTTGGCTATGGAGACATTGACTTTTTGGCCTTGTCTAGAAGTACCAAGTACCCGTAATCCCAATGTCTACTATACAATAAAATACTTCAGTACAATCAAATATTCATTTTGAATGGGCTGAAATCGCACCACACCAAAATGAGTGCATGCACTACTTTTATACTTTTTAAAACGCACTGCAACCGGACAGTATGGTACAAAAGTACCATCTGATCCGATGCGGGCAAACACACTGTGTTTGCAACTTGGGTTTGGGGTGACATCTGTTTGACACCTGCTGCAGATGCGGGCATTGTATTTCTTGGGGATGACAGTTTATACTTAACTTGCTGAGCTACAGATTGTTTGTAGGCACTCGAGTCCTGATTTGTGAAACCAAGGGATCGACCTGAAAATTAAGCTTTTTTTTTCCTGTGAACCCAGCTTGATTAGAGTGCCTCGTATGAAGCATTTATGTGCCTTCCATCTCATGAGAAGGGGAAGATCTTTATCTGAATTGCTCTCAAAGAACTTGCAAAGTCTGAAGACGATTTGTAGTATGCAGTGCAAAAAAATAATTCCTGACTTCAACCAGAATTGAATATTCATGCCAAGTGGAATTGTGCCTCAGTTAAAACTAAAAGTCAAACCTTGAGATGCATACAGGGAAAACATCTTGCAGTTTTCCTGCAGACACAGCAATAAGTACACCAAATCACCCTACTCCCCACTGTCAGTTATCTGTGAACACATTTTGCTTATAAATTTGTGTTGCAGATGAGCTATTTCCAATCACACCCACTACAGGCTCTTTTCGCTTTTTCACATAGAAAAAGCACAAGTTAACAAAATTGTCAATACTAGGAAGTTCCTCATATATACCAGTCAAATTCAAACCTGCCGGGATATTAGATTCTAATTGGTATTGCAGCAATCAGAAAAAGATAAAAAGCCGCACAGTACATGCTTAACAAATTCTTCTTCTGTTCAAAATTGAAATGAGTTGTGTGTTCTATGGCTGCAGTGGATGAAAGACATCTCAGATTAGGGAGAACTAAGCAGACTTCTGCACTTCAGAACAGCTACATCATTTGCCAGATTTAACTTAAAAGGTGCCTTGAATTGATTTTTAAGCACTATATCCATAAGCTCCCCATCTATTTTAGCCCTGGTTTCATACAGTCTGCAAATTCCACTTTACCTGCAGTGAACGACAACAGGTCCAGGTTCTGGTATACCATCCTGCTTATGGTGAACTTCTTCTAAAAAGTCCAGGACACCACCAGGGTCAGTAGGTACCCCATGATCTGGCCAAGCTTTGAAATGATACTGCCATACAGTCCTTTCAGTGTTTGCCTTAATGAATATAAAATCTGAAGTTAGAGGACAATCTCATGGGGGAAAGCTGAATGAAAAAGAATATACTTTATACCTAGCAAACCGATACCACAAGGGCTGTTCAATGCTTAAGGCACAATTCTCAAAAAAAAGGAAGAGGAGGAAAATGCACTACTTACTTGTCCTACTTTCGAAAGTTTAAGTTCCCTTAGTATATAGTCATGAGATGGTGTTTCTTTGACATTTCGTACTCTCATAACTCCATATTCCTTAAGAGCACATTCCTCTGGCCAGTATTTAACACATTTACTCTGGAAAACAAATATACCTACTGTCAGAATAAGTGCCAAATCCTGTAATTAAACATTCTAATAGGCGAACTTCACACAGAACTCATATTTACACTTTGCATGGCTAACAGTACATTGATTCATTCTATCTTCTATAAAGCTGTTAACATGCATTCCATCAAGGCAGCCCAATCATTTGAGAGTGTATGTGTTATTGTTTTTTGTAATGCAGCAACCACAAGATACAGTGAGTCAACCCAATCCTCCAAGTATCTTTGCTTTCATAGTATATTTGGAAATATACAAACGCTGTAACCGAACAGCTGAGGCATATTTAGGCATCTTGAACAATTATGTGCTTTTTTATTGCATTCATCTAGAACACATTATAATTAATGGCATTGATATTGCAGAATTCTCACTGTGGTGCTTTAGAGAAGTGATGCATGCATTAAACAAAGGTAATCTCTACACAAGGGACTATGAAAGCCACACACCTGTCTCAGGGTTTTATAATAGACAAATAAACAGTCTTACCACTAAGGACCTTTATGTATTAACATGTTCTCTAGTTCTCCTTAAGCAGCGATAAGCATCAGACCTGCCCTGAAATTCTGAATCTTGTTGTTGGCTATGTAGCATACTGAATACACAGCACTTTTAATACACACTAATACCTAGCAACGTGTGGTTTGAGTTTATTTTTTGCTGTCAGATTTGGAGAGATTTTTCTTCACTTTCTGTCTTGAAGATACAACAGGGAGAATACAACTCTACAAATTGAGCAGAATCCCCCTCTTAGACTGCTGTAAGCAGAACAGGTGCCCCATTGGAAGTTTTACCCTCGCCAGTGGCCCTGGTGAAAACTGTAAAATTCTGGATTTCCCACCACAATCAGAAAATCTGAGGGAGTAAATTATATTACACAGACAGCCATGAAAAAAATCTTTGTTCACCTTGCTATCACCTTGAGATAGGGGTTTCTTGTGGCTCTGAAACATCAGTACACACAATGTGATTTCTTATCTATGGTATGTGACCACTTTTGCATTTTATTACAGGTAATTTTATGTTGAAGATAATTTTACACAGAGCCTTACATACCGTGCATTCATGGAGCTTGCAATCTAAGACTGCATGTGGTTCTGATCAACTTCAATAAAACAATCAAGCAATGAAAACAAGCTAGAGTGCAGAATGACAGTTTTTACACTGTCAAAATAATTCAGTGCAAGAAGCAATGTGCAGGCACAATTTATCTTTTGCAGAGTTCCAATTGATTGCTATGGCTTATTCTCTTCACTTAGGTCCTTTCATTTTCAATAAAACCCTCCCACATCTATTGCTAAGAAAAAAGCAGCACCTTTATATAATCAGCAACTGACTGTTGCAACGTATGAAACGCACCTTGCCTCGTTCAACTTCCTTTGTCGTCATGACAATAACCCTGGAGTTTTCCTGAAAAACCATTCTCCAGAAATCATTCACTGTATTCTGCAAGCAGCCCTGAGTAGCAATATAACGTTTCTTGGGTTTTAAATTGTTGCATTTTGTTTCAAATTCAGGCTGTAAATATAAAATATAGTAAAAATAACATTGAAAGCAACAATCATATATTGATTTAATAAAATAAATGGGCATTAATGTACTTGAGGGATGAGCTTACCATTATAGTATTAGCATTGATGTAATCAGAGACTTGCTCATTAGGATCCCCATCATGAAGAACAACCCTTGTGTGATCAACTGTATTGAAAGAAAATAAAGTTATAGTAAATTATTTTTATTACTGCTGACAAAGTGGATTTGGATATATTTTAGAAAGGGGTGAGAAGATGGCCTCAGATTTATGCATTATCCTCAGGAATAGTTTTATGCTCCTTGTACTTTAAAGTGGTTGTAAAGGCCCAAGATGTTTTACCTTCATGCATTCTATGCATGAAGGTAAAAATCTTTCTGTGTATAGCAGTGCCCCCAGTCCCCATAATACCTACCTGAGCCTCATCGTGATCCAGCGATGTGAACGACAGACTCGGCTGTCCCGGGTCTCTGCCTCCTCAATGGCTGAGACAGCAAGCGGGAGCCATTGCCAAGCCGCGGCTCCATGTGTGAATGGACAACGGAGCAGCGGGTGCCCCCATAGCAAGCTGCTTGCTGTGGGAACACCTGACAGGAAGGAGGAGCCAAAAGAGTTTGCGGGGGACCCGAGAAGAGGAGGATCCATGCTGCTCTGTGCAAAACCACTGCACAGGGCATGTAAGCATGATATGTTTGTTATTAAAAAAAAAAAATTTACATTTAGAAATCGCATTAAAGGAAACTCTGATAGGAATTAGTAGGCAGCTACTGTTTATTTCCTTCTGAAAATTCTAACTGCTTGTCTGTCCATGGCTTCAGTCACTGACCAGAAAAAGTATGCAAGTAAAATCAGAGGGTATAGGATAAGCATGACAGCCAGGCAACTATCATTTACAGAAAGCGATGTCAGCAACAGCAATCTTTGTCATTCAATTACAAGTTTTCTTTATATCTAGGAGACGAAGTATTATCTCCAGTGCTTGAAATGTTGGGCATCACAAGGCGAAGCATGGTATACAAATAACAACCTTAGTACATGTTCCTTGGGTGTCTGCACGTACATCAGTCCTCCCACACTAACCCATGGACACACCTTGGAGATAAAAAAAAACAGTGCTTTTATTGGATACTGGAACTGTAGGAGGAAGAGCAGAACTCAAAAGTCAAGGAAGCTGCAAGTCTAGGATTGGATGCTCCTCTGCTGCACCCAAGCAAATTTGATATAATTTTTCAAATCTTTAACCAGCAAGAGTGCATTTGGGACAGGTAACTGTGCTCCTACTAGATAGTGGAATTGTGGAAGGAAGGGCAGAACACAAAGTTAGTGACAAAAAGTGATTGTAAGTCCACTATTTTTATTCTTTAAAAATAACAAACATATTATATTTACTTGGTCTGTGCAATGGTTTTGCTCAGAGCAGCCCTGATCCTCCTCTTCTCAGGTCCCCCACAGGCTCTCTTGGCTCCTCCCCTCCACAGAGTGCCCCCATAGCAAGCCACTTGCTATTGGGGCAATTGTGTGGGCTCGCTCCCGTGCCGGCTCTGTGTGTCCATGAGGCACACGGAGCAAGGCTCGGCACCACCCTGTCTCACTGGCTGTGACTGACAGCAGCTGGAGCCAATGGCTCCCACTGCTGAATTTGAGCCAATGAGGAGGCAGAGTGCCGAGAGAGTTTCTGCTCTCGTGCACATCACTGGATCAAGATTGGGCTCAGGTAAGTATAAGGGGGCTGGTGGGGGAAGCTGCAGAAAGAAGGCTTTTTACTGTTAAAACAACTTATTACTTTGGTTACAGGAGTGTAAGTGTGCCCAAACCACTTTATTACTTTGGTTACAGGAGTGCAAGTGCAAACCACTTTATTACTTTGGTTACAGGAGTGCAAGTGCACCCAACCACTTTATTACTTTGGTTACAGGAGTGCAAGTGCACCCAAACCACTTTATTACTTTGGTTACAGGAGTGCAAGTGCACCCAAGATGAAAGCAATACTGTTAAGTTACTTTTTGACAGCTAGACAAAACTAACACTTTAAAAACTGTGATGCGGACAAGTCTGATGTAGCTGAATATGCTTGGTATGGGGCCAATGGCAGAGTGCCTTACCACACTAAGGAAAGGGCAATTAATCAGAAAGCTGAAAACTTCTCCTTAATACTTAAGCCAGTCTGTGAATATAAAATCTCTTATGAGTAATAAAGCCCACTTATTCAGAGCGATGTTCTTTACTCACAAGGTAAAATATTCTTGTATCGGTTTTTGTTCTTGTTTTCTTGTCTCTGCCCCTCTTTGCGGCTGTACAGTAGTTTGCATTCTTGTTGCTGCAACGTCTGAAAGGAATGTAGGAAAAAAATATGTGATAGAGCCTATTTCACAAGAAACCTTTATCTTTGTCATTTAAAGCAGATGTGTTGTGCTTTTTCTTCACCTACTGCAGAACCATCTTCCAGACTGAGCAATTACCTGTCAGTCAGAACCACAATGAGGTCTGCTGTCAACATGTTCCTAAAATATATATCCCTTGTGTGGATGACACCGCACCGCTTCACACAAGGACATGCAGAGGTGGAAATAACCTCAGCACTTCATTACCAGTAAAACTTGAATTCAGGGCCATTCACAAACCCAAACAGAAGCACTTCTGTATTCATAAATTACTGTAAATATTTCCTGTGAAGTCTGCAGCAGTGTGCCACACAGACATTAAAAATAAAATATTTAAGACGTCCGCGAGAACTAATTAATAGAAGAAATAGAAGACAAGCCATATAGCTCACTCTAAAAAGTAAGCAAAAAAAAAAACTTTTTAAAAAGCATTCCAAACAAACTTTCTGCCGTTACCAATTGATGGATGAACAGGAATCCTGACAGTATCAGGTCTCCTAAAACTAATAGATGAGTACCTGTTTGCATGCAGGGTATTTTTAGTGTATTCTATGCTTTATGTGCTGGAGAGCTGCATAAAGCATGATAATAACTTTCACATTGAATTTGTCAAAGCATCAGACAATCGGAGCACGGAAGCTGAACATTGTGTGCTCATGGCAATATATTAAATTCTATTCTAATAGACTCATTAGAACAAAAATTATTGCTCCTCCAGCTTTAGGCACAGCAGTGGTCAATTTTTACACCGGAAGGAAACTGTATCTAAAGAAGGAATACAGAGATTACTACAGGTTTCCATTGATTTTGGTTTTTACAATACTAAAAGACAAGATTTCTATAGCTCTGCTGCAAGTTATCTTGAAACTGGTCAATTATTTCTTAGTAGCACTTACAAGAGCTTTCTCAAGCTCAGACTTGCATAAAGCAAGGATAGACTCAACTGTACAACAGCAAGGGCAGCCAATCATAAAACAGCACATAACATTTCTGTACACTACATTAGGTTAATGGAAATGATTGAAAAAAAAAAAAAAAAAAAAAACTTTTTGAAAGCTCTAAATATAAATGTGGTTTCCCTTTACTATTACGATTGGCTGCTCTTTCGCATGATGTCAAGTTCTCATTAGCATAAAACATGACAGGCTAACCATTACGAACAATGTAGAGAAAAAAAAAAAAAAAAAAAAAAACATTCATACTTCTAGCCCAATCTGGACACATACATGCAAAACCCATATGACACCAATGCCCCCCTCTCCCCCCACAAAAAATTCCTCCAGTAAAGAAAAATCTTACAATACTCACATTACAGGAATACAGTAACTAGCTGCTTTTTGGGAACAAGGACCATAGGATGTTTTGCATTTATGTTATGTATAGTTAATGTATATAACTACAGAAAAGATGTAAAGTCTCAAAGATCTGATTATGTAACCGCAGGGAACAACAGGTCATATGCTTGCAGTTTATAACTGGGTATGAAATACTGCCATTTCCACAAAGGTCTAGTCTTTTTACATCCCATAGATCTTATTATGCAGCAGTATACTCTGTCTTAGACACTGCAGTGTTAGACACCACTATACCAGCAGTGCAGAGACAGAATACTGCAATGCCACAAAGCAAGAAACGGCTCATAACAAAACAGAAGTCAAACAGCCAAGTCTTACATAATCTTACAAAATGTTTACAAACATGGTCCCTTCACATTCTCTTTTATGGTAATTACACAGCACAAAATGCTAGCTTCAAAGTCAAAACAATTGCTTTCATTGCACTACACAGTATTTTACTGCTCACAGCTTAGATACTCAAATGTCTGTATTTAAAAACTGATGGCAGATGTTCCCTACTGCAAATAATAGCTAGTAATCAAGACATTTATAAAAAAAAAAAAAAAAAAAAAAAAATGATATGTAAGGACATTCTTTATAAGATATAATACGTAAATTACAGCAGCAATTTTGCTATACATGTCATATCTACACAATTTAAGGCACCTTACCTGACTAAACCTACAGGAATGTGTTAGGCTTTATAGCTAAAAGCTTTAAAAAAGTGAATTACAAGGTCTTTGGCTGTTCAGCAAATTGTTTGCAACCATGACTATGGGTCACTGTTCAAAGGCAGACTTGTGCTATAATGATATATACCAAAGTGAAAGCTAAGGCCAACCTATCATTTTTCAACCAACAGGCCCATTCCATCACATGGGTTGGATTTTCCTGGCCTTTTTTATGCCATTGTATACTTCTAAAACAAAAGTGACTGTGGAGCAATCTGGTCATCCTCCTCCTTCCACCATAAACATTCATACTTGGATGATCCGAGACAATTATGAAAAGGTCTTTCATAGAAAATGTAATCTAAGCAGCTTGATTACATCTACCACCATCTGAGATCTCTAGTTAGCTTACATTTACATACCTCAAATTCTTCCCAAAAGCCCTGCTTAAATTTATCAGCTGTTTCTGCAGGTTTACTCAATTCCTTTACTCGACTTTCAATTTCTGCTGCATTTATACGGGTTGTATTCAGAGGCTGGAAAGAAAAAGAAATATTAAAGCAAACTCTTTCTTGCAAGTTAGTTTGATGTGTATGGATAGCATTGTATATGTCCTTCTACCTGTTTGAGTTGCAGTACCGTTCCAAGTGTTTCCACCATGGGATTTTTCTTATAATGCTCCACCAGGTCTGTTAGAGAGTCAAACTTCTCTCCTCCTCCAACATCATATTTCATATCCTAAAAAAAGACGACAAATCATATAATGGATCAGGAGTTCACATAAATCAGTCATATTTGCTGATATTTTTTGAAAGGCAAAAGTTCCAAATATAGAGAAAGAGTCAAAGACAAATTTCTGGCCTATAGTATCAAGCACAAAGTTGCATTCCAATAGCTGTGAAAAGTGCTGATACGTCATTCCTTTTGTGATCTCCAGCGAGTATATGACCAGATAGCGCAAACCTGTGCACCTCCACTAGTAACATATCACCATGATACAGCTATGCAAGTAGTGTGCTGAAAAAACAAGTAGTGTGCCTTATGAGCCACCTAGGGTGGCTTCTGACTGGTCCACGCTTCCCCCTCAGGGGAGTACTCACATGCCACTACTGAATAGCCCGCTCTGTGTCCCGGCCACAGAAGATTTCTCAGCGGCAGCCACATGTCTTGGCCTCCAGATAAACAAAATATGGCCGACTTCCGTTTCCTGCCACACTCCCTCTAGTGGCCGAAAACAAAAAGAGCAAGCACATCTTGGGAACAACAATGAGCGCTCCCCCTGGTGGAAACTCACAGTCAACACCTTTCCTTTTCCCTCCAATTTAGAGCTTTGTTTGTTTCTCTTTACAAAAAGAAAAACAAAAAAGGGGATATCTTACCAGTCCCGCCGCAGGTCCCTGACTTCCGTCAGGCATCAACCTTCACCCACCATGGAGGGCATTGTCAAACAAGCCTTCAAGGACTCAGTCCCCATTCTGAGGGGCTACCGCCTTGGACATGTATAACAACCCGCTGGAAGCTCCTTGGTCACATTTAAAACTGCACAGGGTTCCATCTGTGAGGGGTCCAGCGCCGTAAGGCTCCTTATCTAGCGAGGAGCAGGTACCATCCATGTTAGCTCATAGCCTTCTGAATGGATCTGATGAAAGTCCCCGATTCTCTAATGGAACCGTTCTGGATTTTCAGGTATGCTCCAAGAGCACAGCAACACTTTCAGTGACTACCTTCCTTACAGACACTGGCAAAAAAAAAAAAACACTGAGGTACTTCCTGTATAGGAGGGGTTTTATAGGGGAGGACCTAATTGGTCTGCCAGTGTCCAGTGTATAGGTGGCCTATAACCCACATAGTCATGAATAGCCTGCTCTGTGTCCCGTGATGTATGATAAAGAAATAAGAATTGTTACATAAACAAGGCCAATTATGTTTACTGAACAGTTAAAGAGGACCTTCACCCCTCAGATCAGCAGATTGCTGGTGTCATGCAGTAATCCTGCAGACGGTCAGTGTAAGCTGTTTGTCCATACATCGTACAGGGCAGGCAATTTCACACTGACAGGAATAAACAATGAACTACCACATCGTTCAACAGCGCCGTGGTAGTTAATTGAGAACTGCAAGCCAACATCAAAGGATTTTGGTACTTGTAGCGGATTCATTCACAGATCTTTTCAAAAGTGACTGCTGGTATAAGGAACGTCTCCCCATACGGATGTGTCACACACAGGACTTGCCAAGCCAGTGCAGGAGCGGGAACATGTTAAATGTTTTACCTAAGAAGTGGAACATGTAACATGTTCCCAAAGGTGAACTTACTTTTAAATCAGTACTTTTTTGGTCTTTTTTTTTTTTTTTTTTCCCTTCAAACTTTAGGCCTGGCCTTGCCAAGGACCATTCTAGCCAAAGCGAGAATGGTGTGTCCCTGCTGCCTCAGCCTCCTGGGATTCCGTGCCAAATATTCCAGGAGACTGCAGGAGTAGAGACCCACAGTGGCTGGTGGACATAGCTGCAGTCCTTACCATACGCCAGCTGCCTGACTCTGTTGAAGGCAGCCGGCTTCTGATGACTGAGGAGGACCAAGATGGTGGAGCAGGAACACGTGCTCTGGCACTTTATCTACTGAGCACAGCAGAATAACGCTGGATCTGATGGGCAGGTGAGTATCTGAATGAAGAACAATGCTGCACAACAGGTACATGGGGCTTAAAAAAAAAAATATATATATATATATATATATATATATATATATATATATATATATATATATATATATATATATATATATCTATATCATAGGCGAAACCAACTGAAGTTCCTCTTTAAATGTACACATCACTACATTTTCTGAAAGAAAAGCTTTATACTACAAATCAATGCAGCAAAATGTCTAAAAGACAGATCAATGAAAAGTGAAGTGTTTCTCAAGACAAATTACCTGGCACCGTATCATGACATGTGTCACTTTAGACTTGCCATCGTTGCTCTCGCCTTTGTCATCACCAGTGCGAACAGACAATACAAAATCCCCAGGGTGGCTCTGGCTTTCCCGAACCAGGAAGCTTCCATGTTTACCTTTCTCAGTTAACAACTTCTCAGCTTCCTTTCCAGAGAGGTGACCATGGAACCATCTAAATCACCAAGAAAAACAGAATTCTAGTTTAAAAATAATATTTATCAATCTAAAGTGGTCAATACAAAATAATACAACATGGCATATGAAACATCGCATGAAAGCTTTCATTTCTACTTATCTTAAAAGTAGAATTGTACTTTAAAAACACTACAAATCCCCACTTGCTTAGCTCATGTTAGCTATAACCATTAGTGGCAACCGAAATGAAAATTCTAGGACCAAAACCGAAAATTCAGGATGCATTTGGCCGAAAACAGAAATGGACAGTTGTTTTGTAAAAAATGCACGCACGCACGCACACACACACACACTTTTCAGCCAATAGGCTGCTTTCACACGGAGCAGCTTTTGCACAAGAGAAGCTCAAGAGAAATGCAATGTAAAAAAAAATCCTGCTTGCCGTATTTTGGTGCATATCTGGCAAGTTTAAAAAAATAAATAAGCAAAAAATGCACCGCCCCATTGAGCCCTGGTTCACACCAATGCATTTTTTTTAGGGCTTTTTGCAGAAACCCACTACAGTCCATTTAATATGGTTACCTATGGGACACGTTCACATCTATACTTTTTTGAGCTGCTGGGTTTTTGGAAAGGGGCAGGGACTTTTTTCAAATGCAAAATGTTGCATCTTTTTGGTTCAACAGACATCAATGGAGATGCTGCAGAAAATGCATGTAGGGCGTTTTTGATGCACTTCTATGCATGTTTGCCACTTTTTTTTATGCGTTTTGAATCTGCCCAGCAAAAAATTGGACCAAACCGCCCCCCCCCCCCCGCAAAAAAAAAAGCATAAAAAAATGAGCCAAAAACACACATGCAAAAAAGCAAAACACTGCAAAACAGACAAAACACATAGTGCAGTGGTGTAAACTAGGCCTGAAATGCATTGAAAAAAAAGCAGCAAAAACTACACACGTTTGATGCATTTTTTTAGTCACATGACCTATGAAAAATGCACCCTAAATCAGGTAAGATCAAGTGTTTTTGGTGTCCATTATCGGCACCTTTTTCCCTATGGGCAAAATTCAGGATTATGTACACAGGCCTTAGTGGAAAAGCCATCAACCTGCAAGTAGACTTTTCCACTAGTGTCTACGGAGAAAGGCCTAACATTTATAGTACAGTTGCGACCCTGCCAGCTTGCCAATGACAGAAGAGGCAGCTAGGCCATTTCATCACAAAAAAGGGAACCCAACATTTGAAAAGAGGGCATAGCAGTCAGATATACAAGAACCGCCCGACCACATCCAAGGAGTGCAACACAACCTCCATAGGATGGCAAAGGGCATAGACACAGGGAAAGCAGGACAATGTCCTCATTCAGGTAAAAGTCAGACACCACCTTTGGAGGAAAGGGGGGACAGACAGAGAACCATCTTATCCCTCTGTAGACCCAAATAGGGAGACTTACAGGACTAGGCAGCCAGCTCTGACACACAACATGCAGAACTAATAACTATAAAAGGCAACCTTCTGGGAGAAAGCGAGTAAGGGAAGAAACATAATATTCTCAAAAGGAGGCATCTGAAGAACTGAGAACCAGGTTCAGGTCCCATATGGGCAACAGAGATCGCACTGGAGAAGCCACATGCTGAACCTCTTGGATGAAGGTTAAAATCAAGGAGTGCATGCCGAAAGAACATTGAAAGAAAATAGGAAGAGCAGAAACTCCGCCCTTAATGGTACTTAAGGCAAGGTTCTGCTCACAATCAATTGAGGAAAGCCAAAACCTGAGCCACCGAGAAGGAACAGGGAAATAAATACACAGCCTCACACCACGAGATGTAAACCTACCAAGTGCAATGATAAATTTTCCGAGATGTAGATTTACACACCTTCAGCATGGTAGGGGTCACCAAGCCTGACAATCCCCCTCCCCCGTCTCTTAGAACCTGGCTTTCAATAGCCATGCTGTCAAAGCCAGTAACAGTAAAGCAGAATGAAGATCAGTCCCTGGAACAGAAGATCTTTCCAAAAAGGCAGCCACCAGTGCATCAGCCGCACAACACTGGTGTACCAGGATCAACAAGGCCAACTGGGAGCCACCAGAATGACCAGAACCTGCTCAGCCTCTATCCTGCACAGAAGATGAGGGAGAAGATTGAGAAAAAGAAAAAGGCATAGATGAGGTGATCCTGGTTTCACAGCGATACCAGAGTATCCATTGTATCCGCCAGGGGATCCCTTGCTCTCACCACAAAACTCGACACCATCCCATTCTGCTGGGATGGGATGCCAAAAGATCCATGTCTGGAATGCCCCAGCACAGACAAATTTGATGAATGACATCTGGGAGCAGAGACCACTCCCCCTAATCTAGCGTCTGACAACTGATTGTCCACCAGCTAGTTTTCTACACCTGGAATGTACATGGTGGAGAGAGCAGGTACATGAACTTCCACCTACTGAGTAATGGTAGAGGCCTCCAGCCTCCAGGCGCCCATGAAGAAGCTTCGTGCAGCATTGCAGACAAAACCTGACCACCCATAGCTCCAGGACATTTATTCGGTGGCAGAGATTCCTGTGGCATAAAATGGCTCTGGACTGACCTCAAACCCAGGACTCTCCTGCAGTTGGACAGGTTGGTGTCCGTCGTGACCACTGTTCAATAGAGAGGGAGAAACGACTTTCCAGCCAGGAGAGACATAGACCAGAGCCACTAAAGAAGAGAGATCCTAGCCAAATGAACCACACGATTCTGGTTGTCCAAGTACGCAGAAGACTTGTCCCACCTGGACAAGATTTCCTTCTGTAGAAGCCTTGTGTGGAACTGTGCATACAGGACAACCTCAAAACGTGGACACTAGGAGACCGAGAGCCTGCATGCAAAAGACACAGCGAAGACCTGCAGGTCAGCAGCACCTGAACCACAGTCCAGAGTGTCCTGAGCTTGTCCATCAGGAGGAACATCTTGGCCAGTGCCAAGTCAAGCATCTGACCTAAATACTAAAGTTGCCTGGTTGGGGTCAGCGTGGATTTCCTGAGGTTTAGAACCCATCCGCACACCTGCATAATGCACATCATGATCGCCATGTTGTCCATCAACATAGAATCTCCAATCACAAAAGGAAGGTCGTTCAGATAGCCAAACCTTCATTGTCTCAGCAATGTAAAGACCAGATCCAGCCCTTTGGTAAACACCTGAGAAGAGGAGGCCAGGGAAGAAAAAAAAACAGATAATGCGAGTCCCCAACTGCAAAGTACAGGAAGTGCTGGTGCCTGGCACAGATGGGAACATGCAAATACGTGTCCTTGATATCTATGGAAGCCAGGAAATCTACATGATGGAGGGATGCTACTACTGCACAAATGGATTCCATCTTGACCTTCTGCACCTTCACAGAGCAATTTAGGGCCTTAAGGTCCAGAATTGCCAAGATTAGCCTCACTTCTTCCTTCTTCAGAACTGTAAACAGATTGTCGTAAAACCCTTAAAGCTTCACTGGATCCAGAATTAGGCTAATCACTCCCTGGAGTACAAGATTCCTGCACGTCCCCAAAAAGAACCTGCAGATAAGTTGGGGAGTGTTGGAGGACAACATGTTTCTATATCAGATATTTGTGGAGTCTTACTGCATGGTTGCCAAAGAATTATTTGGCCCATTGACTATTATCTTGGAGTGTCAGGAAAAGCAAGTATTTACGACAGGATGTGTAACAAAAGGCTGCATACTATTTTCCTCCTCCTGGGAGTTCACACATACCCCTAGCGTTGGGGCACGGAGATAAGAGAGCCTCAACCCAGACAGCCCAGTGCCATGCATACTAAATTGCCATGCATAATAAAGGACAGATTATCAGGGTCCAAGCAGGGTTGGCAATACAACAGTGCCCCCTGGTGGAGCGTTGTTGGCAATATAGCAGTGCCCCTGGTGGAGACAATCTAATTCTGGAAGTAATCTTACACTTCCTAATGAATAAGGAGGGCAGCCCCTTATGAGTTATGAACGCTTGCTCATTGGATGGATAACTACACCAGGCAGGTCAAGGTGTGTGTGTGGGAGTGCTTGATAGGGCCTTTAAATATAGTGTTGGCCATGTTTCTGGCCTCTCTCTCTCTCTTTCTGCTCTGACGTAGGACCAACTAAAAGATTCTCAGCTTTGAGGACAAACTTACGTAACGTATCATCTTTACTATTATTCCTATATACTTTGTAATATTGGCTTAGATTTCTATGTTAGTTTTACTTCCTTTGTAAATAAATTGATAGGTTTTGTCCACCTGAAAGGGGAGTTATTACACCCTAACCTAACAGCTGAATGCATATTTGGTTTAAGATAAAGTTGGTAAAAAGACTTTGCCCATTAACAGGACTTGTGTAACGTCATGCCGGAGTCTCTCCAAACATTTATGTACACAACTGTATTATATATGCAAATGAAGTGTGTTGTTGGTTAGGGGAGAAACATAACCTATCCAATTCTTCAAAACAAGAAATGTGAACTGTGGGTTTATCAGTGAGGGAATGGAAAAAGTTTTGGAAAGATGCTTCACTGTGGTTTCTGGATGGGAACATCATTGCCAGGAAGGAAGCACCTGCGTATTATTTAGGACATAGAAGAGTTTGCTACTTTGTCCTAAAGCAGTGGTTCTCAACCTTTCTAATGCCGCGACCCCTTAATAAAGTTCCTCATGTTGTGGTGACCCCCAACCATAAAATTATTTTCGTTGCTACTTCATAACTGTAATTTTGCAGTGGGAGGACTAGTGCCCCATCACTGATGTCAGTGGGGGGAAGAGTGCCCCATCGTTGGTGTCAGTGGGGGGAGGAATAGTGCCCCATCGTTGGTGTCAGTGGGGGGAGGAATAGTGCCCCATCGTTGGTGTCAGTGGGGGGAGGAATAGTGCCCCATCGTTGGTGTCAGTGGGGGGAGGAATAGTGCCCCATCGTTGGTGTCAGTGGGGGGAGGACCAGTGCCCCATCGTTGGTGTCAGTGGGGGGAGGACCAGTGCCCCATCGTTGGTGTCAGTGGGGGGAGGACCAGTGCCCCATCGTTGGTGTCAGTGGGGGGAGGACCAGTGCCCCATCGTTGGTGTCAGTGGGGGGAGGACCAGTGCCCCATCGTTGGTGTCAGTGGGGGGAGGACCAGTGCCCCATCGTTGGTGTCAGTGGGGGGAGGACCAGTGCCCCATCGTTGGTGTCAGTGGGGGGAGGACCAGTGCCCCATCGTTGGTGTCAGTGGGGGGAGGACCAGTGCCCCATCGTTGGTGTCAGTGGGGGGAGGACCAGTGCCCCATCGTTGGTGTCAGTGGGGGGAGGACCAGTGCCCCATCGTTGGTGTCAGTGGGGGGGAGGACCAGTGCCCCATCGTTGGTGTCAGTGGGGGGAGGACCAGTGCCCCATCGTTGGTGTCAGTGGGGGGAGGACCAGTGCCCCATCGTTGGTGTCAGTGGGGGGAGGACCAGTGCCCCATCGTTGGTGTCAGTGGGGGGAGGACCAGTGCCCCATCGTTGGTGTCAGTGGGGGGAGGACCAGTGCCCCATCGTTGGTGTCAGTGGGGGGAGGACCAGTGCCCCATCGTTGGTGTCAGTGGGGGGAGGACCAGTGCCCCATCGTTGGTGTCAGTGGGGGGAGGACCAGTGCCCCATCGTTGGTGTCAGTGGGGGGAGGAATAGTGCCCCATTGTTGGTGTCAGTGGTGGGAGAAATAGTGCCCCATCGTTGGTATTAGTGACACACAAATGATGGGGCACTATTCCTCCCACTGACACCAATGATACTTACCTTGCTGACCCCTGCTCCAGCCTGGGCTCGCTCTCTCACTTACCTGTCAGCTGTCTTCCTTCTCTGGCCGCTCTCCTCTTCACTTACTCCGGCAGCTCCCTCGATCTTCTTAGATCTACGCGCGCTGCCGCTCGGATCCTCCTCTCCAAGCTCCACCTCCTCGCCGGTGATTGGCCGCCTGTGTGCCTCTCCTGAGCTACAGTTCCGGTGGCCAATCAGCGGCGAGGAGGCGCAGCTGTTGTGATCCCGGAGGTGTGGCCAGGTGACAGGGCAGCGTATCATCCCGCCCACACATCGACTGAGTCAGAGGAGCGGTGTCTCGGTTCCTAAGACCATCGGAAATATGTGTTTTCCGATGGTCTTAGGCGACCCCAGTGAAATGGTCGTTCGACCCCCAAAGGGGTTGCGACCCCCAGGTTGAGAACCGCTGTCCTAAAGGATACTGATATGTTAGTTAGGGAACTAAGATGTTCCCTGAACTTAACGATAGCTAGAGGTGCACGGTGTCCCCTGGGCAAATGTCTCAGAAATCCAAGTGCAAGGCCAAGTAGGAGTTCTGAGCTATCAGGTGCATGTAGAAATTGCAATAGAGATGGCCATACTGAGCAGACCTGCCTGATTCCGAGCCCTGTATACAACGAAAGACTATAGGAGGTTGGGAGTGGGCTGTTTGATTTGGTGGGTCATGTACTGATAGGAACATATCAAATTGTTACTAGGATCAATATATATATATATGCATATATTATGATAGTGGGTTGATTTGTGTGTTATAGCTCAACATACATTTGTAAGGTTAATAATATGGTTGGGTAAGGTAGTCCTCAATGTTTAGTATCTAAAAGCTGGTATGGTTCTGAGCATGTGCTGACGCATGGTGAGTGAACACCCTTGCTCATAGCAGATCCTATTGTGAAGATGTCAACAAGAAGACACTGAGTGGTGCCATGAATGTTGTCACTAAAGAAGGGTGATGAGGGGCCATGCAGGTGCAAAGCGGCATGTATCTGGAAACACACAATGTATCCTAATATCAGAAATGTCTGGACTGTTCCATGGAAGCTGTCTCTGAAGAAGGTGATGGTGTGCCATTCAGGCACAAAGCAGCATATGTTGGAGGACAACATGTTTCTATATCAGACATTTGTGGAGTCTTACTGCATGGTTGCCAAGAATTATTTGGTCCATTGACTATTATCTTGGAGTGTCAAGAAAAGCAAGTATTTAAGACAGGATGTGTAACAAAAGGCTACATACTATTCCTCCTCCTGGGAGTTCACACATACCCCCTAGCGTTGGGGCACAGAGATAAGAGAGCCTAAACCCAGACGGCCCAGTGCCATGCATACTAAATTGCCATGCATAATAAAGGACAGGTTATCAGGGTCCAAGCAGGGTTGGCAATACAACAGTGCCCCCTGGTGGAGCGTTGTTGGCAATATAGCAGTGGCCCCTGGTGGAGCCAATCTAATTCCGGAAGTAATCTTAAACTTTCTAATGAATAAGGAGGGCAGCCCCTTATGAGTTATGAACGCTTGCTCATTGGATGGATAACTACACCAGGCGGGTCAAGGTGTGTGTGTGTGTGTGTGTGTGTGTGTGTGTGTGGGAGTGCTTGAGAGGGCCTTTAAATATAGTGTTGGCCATGTTTCTGGCCTCTCTCTCTTTCTGCTCTGACGTAGGACCAACTAAAAGATACTCAGCTTTGAGGATGAACTTACGTAACGTATCATCTTTACTATTATTCCTATATACTTTGTAATATTAGCTTAGATTTCTATGTTAGTTTTACTTCCTTTGTAAACAAAGACTTTGCTTCTTTGAGCATTGTGTTTGTTATCACTAATATTGCATTGTATTACGTCCTTCAATATTTTCAAAGCTTATACAGTTACTAATTAATTATGGGAACCGACAAATGGTACATAATTGTATATTAAATAGGGAATTCTAGAAAAGAAAAAAAAACATATTTATTTCAGGGAGAGACAAAGATTGGAAAGAAAGAATCTGTCTGGCAGATAGGAACAAAATTATATTTTGTAGCCTGACAGAACGGTTTCTGAAACCCACCTGTCTGAGAGCAGGGATATCCACAGGTTCACAAATCAACAAAGACGACCTCTCACCCTGAAATAGGAAGGGGGACAAGCCTTCAAGGAGGGCTTGTCCATAGACTTAGCAAGCTTGTGAGGCCAGGATTGGAGAGAAAGAGGGGCCTTGCTTGCGGTGTGGCTCTTTTACTCTTCCTGGATTGAGGGAGAAAAGGTACTCTTGCCTTCCATAAGATTCCTGATTATGTCATCCAGGGTAGAAGCAAAGAAACTTTCCCCTGGTAGGATAAATTGCTCATAGTTTTTTTTTTTTTTCTATTTTTTTTTTTAAAGATGTCTGGTCTGTCAATTAACACTTGAGGCAGAAAGAACTCGTCAAAGTACCATAGCAGAGACAGAGAGCATGGAAAGCAATGGCATTGCACAAAAAAACGCATCACATGTATTTGAGGCCCTGCACCAGTTTTTTTTATGAGTTCCAATGCAGACCAGACACCTGCTCCTTACCAAGACCTTGACCTAAGAGCTTATCCCACTCAGTAAGCATCTGAGGGCCGTGGCTAAAAGCGGACGCAATGTCAAGCCAGCAATCGTAAATACAATGCGGGCGACTGATTCTGCTTTCCTGTTTGGAGGATCCCTGAAGGAAAGAGACTCCTCCACCAGTATCATGGTTGCCTTGCTCAAATTTATCAAAATAGGTGGGGTAAGGAAAAACCCAAAAGTATTCCCTAAAGTATTTTCAATCTTCAATGTTGCCAGTACCGAGATAATGAGTGTGGCCACCAGTGCCTTTTCTTGGGCAGCAACGATCGCAGAGGAATCGTCCTTGCTATCAGAGGAACCAGGGATCGTGTCTTCTAGGCACCCGGGAAATGCTGGACCTGCTACAGCTGAGCCAGACTCAAGCTCAGAATCATCAGAAGAGCAAGTTGAGGGTAGACAAAGTTTTTTTTTTTGCTCACCTTGCCGCTGAAGGCCTCTTTCATCTGGGAGACAAAGGATTCAATAACCATGGGGAGGACAGTGCATCACAGGAGGGGCATGCCCTATAGGCAAGGACTATCAAGGAAGCCAGCTTGCCTGAATAACAATTAATGGGCCATGTCACCAGTGTGCGGCTCCATAATTATGTTTACTGGGAATATCCTGCTGTTGAAGCCAGACAAGAAGCCAGGGTTGTATTCATCAGCCTCTACCCATAAGAGTAATATTTATTTTGGGTGGACTGGTCCTTCAAAAGACATTTACAGATGAAGAGGCAAACATTGGTGCCTGCACTGCAATGCCAGGGTAAAGCTCAGTTTCCTCTGCGTACTGAGTATTTAGACACAAACTATAATTAAAGGGCACTGGCAATTTATTCAGTCCTGTATAAAATGTTTACTTGTTTTCTAAAAACATTAACCAAGAGGTTTAACCTACAGAGGTCTGTCCTGCTGTACTCATAACAGTAACATGCTAGGCAATAAAATACAATGCAATCTGATCAACTCTATTTTGACAAATCAAAAGACTGCTCACCTCTCAGATGTAGGATCTGCACAGTTCAATGGGTATTTTAACTCAATAACATCCCCATTTTTTTCCTTTAGCTGTCCATGGTGTTCCATATAATACTGAACCAATTCAGCCAGTGTAGCAAACTTTTCACCACCATACAAGTCATAGTAATCACCTGTGTTCTGGATTTTAATATGCGTAACTGCTCCATTCCTCCTGAAATGATAAAACGTTAACGGTTCAATAGTTTGTGATACCCATTAATAAAAACTGGAGAAGAAAATAAAAATCCTCAAGTGGAGCATTTTCCTATAGAGATCAATCAGATTTTGTTTTCTTGGGAAAAAAAGGCAAATAAACTGAATAGTGACCTTCTCTCTGTTCAATACCCCCAATAGAAAGCGGATTCCCATGGGGACACTTGTGCGGGCTCGCTCTTGAATCAAGCTCTTGCATCCATTGACACAGACAGTGGGACTCGGCCCCACCCCCCCCACTCCCTCGTCACTGGCATTGCTTGACAGGAGCAGGAGCCAATGGTTCCTGCTGATATCGATCTGCCCAAGAAGAAGGGACAAAGTGAGGAGAGCCGCAGCTCTCGTGCACAATGCTGGATCGTAATGGGGATCAGGTAGGTATAAGGGGAGTGAGGGGGGGAGTATGTGACAGAAGGTTTTATACCTGAATGCATAGAGGGTTTAGAACCACTTTATGTAGTTTTTTTACATACAAATATGTAGTTAAACAAATATGAAGTATATAATATCACTTGACTATAAATACAACATCTGGAAATATAGAATTGTGGGATTTTAAAAGTGCAAAAAAATTTAACATGTAATATTGTTGTTAAAAGAGATTTTTTCTCCATTTTATTACAAACCAATTTTAAAAATTTAAGTAGGTGCAGTGGTTCACAGCCCAATGTTCCAGCAACACCTCAGCGGCCAAAATGCCATGTCCTCACTAGTCTCTTCTTTTATATCCTCCACCCGGCTGACGTGCGACGTCATCAGTCAGGTGCGGACATCCAATGTATGACTGCGCATGCGCAGAGATCATAAGTGCTCATGCACAAATCAGAGCCGCCCAAAGCCATTGCGCAACCATACAGAAAGCAACAATAGAATCCACAAAAGCGCCACCGATGATCAAAGAAGTTAATCCACTAGATGGCAGCTGTAGTATTTTCTTGGTATTTCTGCATTGGATTAACTTCTTTTATCATCGGTGGAACTGTTGTGGATTCTATGGATGCTTCCTGTGTGGTGCATCGGTGGCGATGATCTCAGAGCATGCACAGTCATACATCGGACGTCCGCACCCGGCCCAATGACGTCACACGTAGGCCGGGTGGAGAATATAAAAGAGGACACAGCCTTTTGGCCGCCGCTGAGGTGTTGCTGGAACATTGGGCTGTGATTGGTATCTCATATTTGGTGAGGCATACATTTATTTGGGGAGGCATACATTCGTGCATAGCCATTTGTGGCTTGTGAGAATTGTTCTCTGAGCATTTTCTGGCCCTTTTTTAGTATGAATCTGAGGAGTAAAGGCTACTGTTGACCCCTAGTGGCAAAGTTTTGACCACCTTGGTTATTGTAAGTACTCTGCATAGCTATTAGATCATCATAGCTTCTTGTACCCCCTTTTTGTTTTTTTTTTTGCTGCTGTTGATGGATCTACATTTATATCTAGGTGGACATTTGACCTTCCTTACATCCTCTGCAATTGCACGGACGCCTTGGCCATAATGTTAATGTACAGGTGAAACTCGAAAAATTAGAATATCGTGCAAAAGTTCATTTATTTCAGTAATGCAACTTAAAGGGTGAAACTAATATATGAGATAGACTCATTAGATGCAAAGCAAGATAGTTCAAGCCGTGATTTGTCATAATTGTGAGATGATTATGGCTTACAGCTCATGAAAACCCCAAATCCACAATCTCAGAAAATTAGAATATTACATGCAATCAATGAAACAAGGATTGTACATAGAACAATATCGGACCTCCTGAAAAGTATAAGCATGCATAAGTACTCACTACTTGGTTTGGGCCCCTTTTGCAGCAATTACTGCCTCAATGCAGCGTGACATGGAAGCTATCAGCCTGTGGCACTGCTGAGGTGTTATGGAAGACCAGGATGCTTCAATAGCGGCCTTCAGCTCTTCTGCATTGTTCGGTCTCATGTCTCTCATCTTTCTCTTGGCAATGCCCCATAGATTCTCTATGGGGTTCAGGTCAGGCGAATTTGCTGGCCAATCAAGCACAGTAATCCCATGGTCATTGAACCAGGTTTTGGTGCTTTTGGCAGTGTGGGCAGGTGCCAAGTCCTGCTGGAAAATGAAGTCGGCATCCCCTTAAAGCTCGTCTGTGGAAGGAAGCATGAAGTGCTCCAAAATCTCCTGATAGACCGCTGCATTAACCCTGGAGTTAATGAAGCACAGTGGACCAACACCAGCAGATGACATGGCTCCCCAAATCAACACAGACTGTGGAAACTTCACACTGGACTTCAAGCATCTTGCAGTGTGTGCCTCGCCATTCTTCCTCCATACTCTGGATCCTTGGTTTCCAAATGAGATACAAAAGTTGCTCTCATTAGAAGAAAAGAGGACTTTGGACCACTGAGCAACAGACCACGTTTGTTTTTCTTTAGCCCAGGTAAGATGCTTCTGACTTTGTTGTTCAGGAGCGGCTTGACAAGAGGAATACGACATTTGAAGCCCATGTCCAGGATCCGTCTGTGTGTGGTGGCTCTTGATGCACTGATTCCAGCCTCAGTCCACTTCTTGTGAAAGTCCCCAACACTTTTGAATGGCCTTTTCCTGAGTGTGGGAGGAAACCGGAGTACCCGGAGGAAACTCACACAGGCACGGGGAGAATATGCAAACTCCAGGCAGGTGGTGCCATGGTTGGGATTAGAACCAACGACCCTAGTACTGCCAGGCGGGAATATATATATATATATATATATATATATATATATACACACACACACACACACACACACACACACACACACACACACACACACACATGTTGAGCCTTTAGAACTACTTTAACGGTCCTGTAATCAATTTTTTATGAAATGATTTCTTACTGCGTTTTTCTGCCACCTTCCTGTAACATCCTCCCTGAGCTCCCAAACCTCTCCTTTTCTATCATGCTTTTGTTTGTTTGGAATTACCAGTGAATATTAGTTGAGGTCATGCATACAACATATCCCATAGTCCCCGGTCCACAGTTCCTTGTCCATCTGAGAAGCAAGCAAGAGAGAGTGGATACATTTCTACATATAGTGGGGCCATGGAGAATGAAAGTAGCCATCCTTGAACAGGAAGTTGAAACACAGCACCAAAAAAAAACAAAACAAAAAAAAAACTGATTTTGGTGATTTGGAAGAGGCAGAGAGGGTACTTTTTTTGAGTCAGAATGCAAACTTGAACATAGCTAGCCACAGATGGATCAAAATTCGTAGCAGTTCAGCAGGGACCAGCCAAATTACGATCCATGTGTGGCCACTAATGATCGATTTGTATCAAATGGGCTTGATGGAAGCTTTCTTGATCGGCAAATGCAGTTCAGCATATTTGGACAGTGGAGAGTTCCCCCCGTCAGATAATAAGGTCTCACCCATACTGTCTGAATGAGGGTGAAAAAAAAAAAAAAAGATTAATCTATGGCCAACTTATATTGTTTTTTTTTCCAAGCCAACATTTAGTGTCACTATAACTAAAGGCAAAACATTTTTAGTTTTGGACAGAATGGAGAGGGATTAGAATGCCTGTCAGTTTTTATTGCTGTCTGTGCCCCTGTTAGGGAGATTCACCCTCTTTATTTGTCCTGTTTATCATTATCATTGAAAGTGAAAGTAAAAGAAAATCCCAAATTGTGTTATTTCAAGAAAGGTAATAGGAGGGGAAATGGGGACATCAATTCTAGTGACCTGGGGGTCCCCAAGAAATTCCCTTAATTTGCAGGGATTTCCTCTCACTTCCTGTTTGGCTATGGGAGAGGAAGTGAAGGGAAATCTCTGCAATGGGACACAGGTGGTAAAAAATCTGACAGGGGCGATATTCTCTGGGGTAAAAACAGTGGTTAAAAAAGAAAAAAAAAAACTCTACTCAAACGAAAAGCAAACAAGTATTAGAGAACATCTTTTTATTCAAAACACACAGAAAAAGAGCCCCTTACCTTACTGAGAGAGTGAAATCACCAGGATTGCTCTTACTGGGACGTGCCAAGAAACTGCCGTCCACTCCACGGGTCAAAAGAAGATTTTCTGCTTCAACACCTGTGATATTCGGGTGAAACCATCTGTAACCAAAAGAAATTCAACAGCATGAACCAAATAATTATTTTTAGACATTAGTCGGCAAGAAAGCAGTTTGTTATTTCTAGGAAGGTATGCTGCCTAATTAAACATAAATAAACTGAAATTCTGTTCAGCCTCATAGCTAGAGATACAACCCTATTTCTGTGTTATAGCTAAATTCCAGGTAAGGATTGTTTGCCTAGATACATAGAATGCATTAAGGGAAAAAAAAAAACCTTGAGGCTTCAACACCACTTTAATCTGACAATTCTATATAGAAATCTAGCCGGTTGTCATCACTATCTACACTGTTCACAGTTTGAATGCAAAGAGACATTAAGCAGGGTTGATGATCACTAGCATTCAGACATCTAGACTCATTGTTTGTTTTTATGGCGGGTTGGCCTGTTATACTCCATCAATGCCAAGATGAAAAACAAAATGTGGGGGTTTGTTACCCCTGAACCATGTCAGCCTTTTTAATTAAGCTCTTGAGTCATTCATAACAGCACTTGATTCATTAATAACAGCTTTGTTGACATGCGATGCGATCACCTGATCCCCGGGCCGCTCAAAGCAGCTTGGTACCAGGAGCCGGTCGCAGGGGGGCATGCTGTGCGCAGCATGCTCCTAAACTGACGTACCATGGATGTGAATGTGATTGTGTCTGCACACGCTGCCCATCCGCAGTATAATTACTGTGGGCGGTTGGCAAGTAGTTAAACTAGAGATGGGCAAAGCCTGATGGGGAACTTGGAGACTATCTCCCCATCAGGTCAGCTTTACTCTTGACTGAGCGCATAACAGAGAGCTGATCCACAGCTGCTATTCGGTCCAACAGCAACTTTGGAATCTGCCCACTGCTGTAAGCTGTCAAAGGAAAAGCAGGCCTGATGGGGAACTAGTCTCTGGGTTCCCCATCAGACTGCACTCACCCAGCAACTCAAATTTACAACCGCTGCGTCTTTTGGGTGGACACAGCCTGATGGGAAACTCTGAGGCTAGTTGCCCATCAAGCCTGGTTTGCCTTTGATTGACAAGTCACAGCAGTGGGTGGATTCCAAAGCTACTATTGAAAAAAAAAAAAATAGCAGCTGTGGACCTGCCAACTGCCATGCACTGTCAATCAGAAGAAAAGCAGACCTGATGGGGAACTAATCTCTCAGTTCCCCATCAGGCTCCACCCATTGTCAGTTTAGTGAGACTTTCCTCAGGATGCAGGCAACCTTCATCCTAGCCACCAATACTGTAAATGAAAAACAAAAACATAATAAAGTAATGAATATACAACAGAACATTCCGCTTTAAAGATTGGTCCCCCGCTCCCCATTAAGGATTGGCACCTTTGGGGAGCGGGGGGAGAGCAGGTACCCAAAATTGACAGGTCGCAGCCATATTAACAGATTTTGGTGGTAAAAAACGACCTATATCTGGCATGTGTGTTGGTACCTGTATCGAAATTGACACAAAGCTTTCATGACCTCCCAAGACCTTCTGCTCTCTAGTCCCATGTCACCTCCTCCCATGCTCACCTCCCGGAATTCTCCCATCCTATGGAACTTCCTACCCCAATCTATCTGGCTGTCTCCTAATTTATCCACCTTTAGACGATTCCTGAAAACCTCTCATTAAAGAAGCTCATCCTGCTTCTAACTAGTAAACCACCATTTATTTCCTCCATCAGCTCATCCCACCACAGCTACTACCTTTTGTATCACTCAACCCTTCCTCCTAGATTGTAAGCTCTAACGAGCAGGGCCCTCTGTTTCCTCTTGTATCAAATTGTATTGTAACTGTAATGTCTACCTTCATTTTGTAAAGTGCTGCGCAAACTGTTGGCGTTATATAAATCCTTCATAAATAATAATAAAAAAAAAAAAATGAATAATGAATTAGGCACAAGGCATATTAAAAAAAGGGCATACCACCTGAAAAATGACTTTGCTGCTTTATTGAATTCCCCTGTCTTTTCAATAGACAAAGACATTTTTTTTTCTATTTTCTGCAGCAACAAGATGTGTTTCTCTTTCACCAGGCCACTTCTCAGGGCTGATTCACAGAACAATCCCATAAACTATTTTAAGGTATGTGGTTCTCTTGTGGCTAAAATGAGGAAATGTCTTTTTACAGAAAACAATTGGTAAAGTGAATCTTTCTAAAATATCTACAAAAAGGCAAATAGTAATAAGAGGGTAACCTTCAAATGACTCTTGGTATCTGTCATGTCTGTCATGTCTCAAGTGCTCCAGAACTTCTAAAAGCTAAAGCATTTGACATGCAAATATTAACATTTTCAAAGTCAAGGGCTGCATCATCCCCTCCCAACACCTCCAGTAGTTGTTGAGTATTAATCCAGCCCACCATGCATAAAGGGATAATAGTTAAATTATGAAGCTGAAGGGCCAGTGGCCTAGACTTTTTAAAGACAAGTCAACATTTGTGTATCATCAAGTGTATCAAGTAGTGGATTCCAGCTTTGAGACAAACAGAGACTTCCCGTCTCATAAGCAAAACAAAGTCGGTCTAAGCAGCACTCAGCCATTCATAGGCAGCTTTGTATTCTCTGAATGAATACAAAGCTTCATCTGATTGGCTGAGGCAGAGAGGCGGCCTGATGACGTCCTACCTTTTAAAGTGTTACTAAACCCACAACAGTAAAATCAGTCTGTATATGCAGTAAAGCATGCTTGTTATACTTACTGTGGAACCTAAGGGGTTAATCCTCTGCATTGTTTAGAAAGGATGTTTGATCCTGACTTTGATCCTGCCCTTCTTCCAATGCCCCCCTCTTATCTCCTGATAAGACATATCATGTGAAGACACTCTGCACATGTTTAGTTTGATGTGTATTGCTAGAGGGTTTTTTTTGTCTTGGGAGAGTGGATGTGATCAGCACAGGGCCAATCAGCACTGTCCAGAAAGAGGTTCTGCACCCTCCTAGAGCAGAAAGAAAACTCCTCCTACAAGCTTTAACGAGTGCTCTGCTGAACACTGATAGAAGTCACAAGACTGCTCTAACTGCTGATGAGAAAAGGTATTTAGCAGTTTATATTTACTAAAATAATTGCATTTCCATGTTGTGTGTACTGTGTTAGACCAGATATAGTGAATGCAGGGCCCTGGGTTTAGTAACACTTTAATACTGTACATATCTTTTGTATTATCATTCACCAATCATTATTTTTCACAGTTTTTATAATTTATTTTTATTTGTTATTTCTATTTGTTTACCCATTTTGTATGGCCCATCCATTTGGTACATTTATTACAATTGCCATCCACATTATGTCTGGTTTATCGGACCACTCCTGAGCTTGACAAACTCATTCATTCACATATTTATTCCATACTGTAAATTCCCTCCTCCTAAATTTGTGGAAAATGGTGGTGCGTTAATTGCCACCCGACATTGGTGATTAGTGGCAAGGTTTTTTAACCCTACTCAGTGTTTACTTACCAAAACACACGCTCCTGCCCCGCTCTCTCACCCTGAGACTTTGGGCTGGGACTGTACTACTCTGCTTGGCAGTATTGGCTTTATTTCATTGCTGGGTGCAAGAACGCAGAGAACAGGTACTACAAAGTGCCCAACAGGTGGCAAACCCTGCCTAGGACACAGTGCACAAAGAGAGTTAGTAGGCTGCGTGTTGGGCACCATTGCACTACATATTTGATGGTATATCTAAAAGGAGATTGAATTATATTAGATTGTCAAGTGTACAGAAAGCCCTATATAAATCTTTGCCCAGACCTAAGGCTCAGTGCACTGTGCCTTATATTAAAAAAATTACTCTTTCAGAAGGTTTAGATGCGTGTCTAAATCTGCTTTTTCTATGAAGCACAACCTTTTCTATGAAGCACAAAATTGAGGAGTCCTGATGTACAGGCGGCTGCTGATTTCATTTTTTGAGGTCCTAAATTGCCAGGACAGTGCAAATGCCCCCCAAACAACCCCTTTTTTGGAAAATAGACCATTGATTGATTTGTGTGAAAGCTATAGCGTCTACAAATTATGGTATACATACTGGAATTTGTATTTATTTGTTTAAGCTAGTAATTAGTGGTGCACCGAAATGAAAATTCTGGTGCCGAAACCGGACGAAAATTCAAAATGCACTTGGCCGAAAACCGAAATGTGTAGTTTTTAAAAATCAATAAATATTTTTTGGAAAAAAAAAAAAAAAACAGATTTAAAAAAAAAAAAAAAAAAACTCAAAAAACAATACTGTATTTGCCGGCGTATAAGACGACTGGGCGTATAAGACGACCCCCTACTTTTCCTGTTAAAATACAGGTTTTGGGCTATACTCGCCGTATAAGACTACCCCTCTTCCAACGCACACCAAATAAAAAATGAAAAAACATCAGATTTGATTTCAATATGGTATGGTATTTCAGTATGGTATTCCAATGATGGGGTGCTATTCCTCCCACTGACACCAATGATGGGGCATGATTCCTCCCACTGATACCAATGGTGAGGCACTACTCCTCCCACTGACACTAATGATGGGGCACTATTTCATCCACTGACACCAATGATGGGGCACTATTCCTCCCACTGATACCAATGATGGGACACTATTCCTCCCACTGACACCAATGATGGTGCCCCATCATTAGTGTCAGTGTGTGAGGAATAGTGTCCCATCATTAGTGTCAGTGGGAGGAATAGTGCCCCATCATTAGTCATTGGGAGGAATAGTGCCCCATCATTGGTGTCAGTGGGAGGAATAGTGCTCCATCATTGGTGTCAGTGGGAGGAATAGTGCTCCATCATTAGTGTCAGTGGGAGGAATAGCACCCCATCATTGGTGTCAGTGGGAGGAATAGCGCCCCATCATTGGTATCAGTGGCAGGAATTGCGCCCCATCATTGGTGTTGGTGTCAGTGGGAGGAATAGCGCCCCATCATTGGTATCAGCGGAAGGAATAGTGCCCCATCATTGGTGTCAGTGGGGAGGAGGAATAGTGCCCCCATGGTTGGTGTCAGTGGGGAGGAGGA